GAAAAAAAAAAAAAACCTTGTGTCATATGAATGAATAATCTATACATTGCATCAATTACTCATCATCAATACCTCTTGCGTGCATCATATATGTGAATTTCTTCCTACCAAACTTGTTTTTTTGTTTTTGATTTTGGGTTTTTGTCGTGCATCATATATAAAACAAAAGAGGGGGGGATTCATTGGAGGCTGTCTCACGTGGACTGGATCATTGTGGGGGGAAAACGTGAGGGACAAAGTGGAGCCGAGCCCTCCAATTTGAGCAAAAGGCGTTTGGGAGTGTACTTCTTCTGGCTGCTCTCTGATCCTTTTTCATTATGTGCTACTTAGTTTGATGGGTATTTGGTAGTTGTCTTGTATCACAAAGAAAGTTCCTCCAACAGAACAGAACACCTTCTTTCCCCTTTTTCTCATTTCTATTTCTTTTTATGTTTTTTTTGCTGTTATTCGATGGGTGGCTGCTTACTGAAGCATTGAATCATACATGATGCAATCAAACACTTCGCCCCCCTTGTCTCCTCTCCCCTCGTATACTCACATGATCACTACTACTATATATTTACTTGAATTACGTTTGCTCTTTTTGGATACTTGTACATGTATATATTACTAGAATCAATACCCACGAAGTAGAATTAGCTTAACAACAACATAATCATATGGCAGGTAGTTGAGTCGATGGCAAATTGGATGATTGTATTTTCACGGTATTGAAAGTGTAGTTGGTACTTGGTAGACCTTTGTATCCCGAGTTCCATAGTTAACTAATATATGGTGTGATGACAAATCAATCCCAATAAGTTTCGGATACTCTTCGACATTTTGTTACAACACCTGTTTCGCAATAGCTAGAGCTACAAATGACCCGAGCTGAACCGAGTTTTACCCCAGTTTTAGCTTGACTCGTTAACAAATGAGCCGAGCTCGAGCCATTTATTAACGAGCCGAGTCGAGTCGAGTTCGAATTAGCCTTGTTTACTAAATTCTTAGATCGCATTTGATATATTCATTTTGTATGTCGTGTATGGTACATGTGATTGATGTAACGATTAAAAAAAATAATCAAATGTTCAACATTAATTAATCTTATATTATAATTTGTAGGTGTCGTATTGTTTAGTTAATAAATTTTAACTTGTTCAAATCATGTTATTTCATAGAATTAAAAATAAGACAGATTTTCTTACATGTTCAACATGTTAAACTTCACATGATGTGAGATATATAATTTAACCATCTTATGAATTATGAAAGTCCAAATTAGATCGATTCGTTGACAAGTCGATAGGGATGAAAATTTTGACCTGACCCGTTTTACCCGACCTGTTTGACCTATTTTGGGGCGGGGGTGGGCATGGGTACTCTCATCGACCCGCTCTACCCTAACCCGCCCCATTCTCGACCCGTTCTTGCCTAAATTACATGTAATTTTAGTCAAATTACTTAGGATTTTCCTTTTATCACATCAAATTTTAGCTAGAATAAAGTTGCAAATTAATGAAAAACTCAATTTCTCCAATAATTTAACTATATTTATCATAATATTGTTTGTTTCCTTGGTCTTATAATACAAATAACGAATATTTCTAATACTTTTCAAATAAATTGTATACCCATTGGGTCGATCTTACCCGACCCGTGACCCGTGATAAATTACCCGACCTGCCACGGGGCGGGTCTGGGTACCAAGAAACCCACCCCGGGCCTGCCCCATTGCCATTCCTACAAGTCGGTAGTCAAGTTGGCCCTCAAACCACAATGTTGAGACATCTCATTAGCTCTAAATGAGCCAACTCAGGAGCTGAGCTCAACAAGCCACCGAGTCGAGCTAGCTCGCGAGCTTAACGAGCTGAACAAAGCTAAACTCAAGTTTGACTCGTTAGTAAACGAGTCGAGTTTCGAACTCGAGTTGCTCGCGAGTAGCTCGGCTCATTTGCAACCCTAACAATAGCTTAATAATGGCAGTGGAAGGGAAAGAGAGGAAAGCACACATAATTTTTCATGCAAAAAATCTGTAATCTGTACTAGATTATGGCCCGGCCTCTTGGCCGGGAGAGTTTGATTCTCATGTTTTCATGTATAAGTGTAGGTATATATTTTTGTTATGGTTCATGTTGTTAGGGTTTGAAATAACTATTTAGTTTGGTAAGTTCTCCATTAATAATATAGGAAAGTATTTGATGTATTTGACTAACGAATTTTTAAAAATGACGAACAACGTCCAATTACACTAACATAAATACATATTTTCAAACGAAGTCGTATTGATATAAAAACGTCTAATAAGAACAATGGTAAGAGTTGTTTTACGTCATACATGCATAATCAATCTTCAGTATACGATAAAATGTTGCGACTTTTCCATTGACTTTAGTGTATTCAATGATATAATGGAACAAAGTATATGTTTAGAGTGTCCTTAATAAGAAACAAACTAAATTACACACTCATGTTTCGAGTGGCATTTCATATAGAAGTCACTGTGACATTAATGTAGTCAAAGCCTGCAAACCTCCAACGGGCAAGTTCAACTAATAGAGCAACACTTAAAAGCTAAATCAAACTGAAAAGAATGAGAAAACTAAAAGCAACATACCTAATATTTTGGGGAAAATCGACAACAATTAAAGTCATTGTATCTCGTACTCAAGTTAGAAAGACTTTGATTTAACAGTAGGTAAACAATGATTTGTAGTGCTTAAGCCTTATGAGGGAAGATGACACCTTACATTCTTTATCAGTATGCATCTCAGTTTCATGTTTCTAAAAAAATGCATCTTAGTTTCACAAACTTCAGAACAAAAAAGTAGTAATTCAATAATCAATATAAGAATCAATATGGACACAATATCTAATCAAAAGAAGAGGAAGCGAAAAAAACACAAATTGTTGTGTATAGATTCTGCTCACGATATTTCATAGTGAAAAATATTATAAAAATTATTAACTGATAAAAGGGAACGATAAAGAGGAAAATGCATCAATTTGAACCAAAAATGAGAGGAACTAATATCCTACACCATCATACAATAATGATATATTATATCCCAAAAAATTATTAAAAAATCTATCTAAACGAAAAGGTATACTAAATTGAATCCAATGTAAAAGTAACGATGAAGATATATAGTATATCTATCTAAGAAATAATAAAGTAAGCCATGTTTCTTAGAGACCTCTCTCGATAGAACCACTCTATGATAAAAATCATTTCGCGAAACAATTGTATCATATGAGTTTTAACTTAAAAATTTAAGTCCTTATAATTAGCTATTTCAGCTCATAAATGAATTAATTATACCATTTGGTATAAAAAAAATTATAAACTTGAGAGTTATTTTGCTTTTTGTTAAATAATTTCAATTGAAGTATGAAAGTGCTTCAAAACTGTTACTTCATTCATCATTATTAAAAATTACTATTTTTATTACAACGTCTAAGCATGTCTAGGCGAGCTAGGAGATAGGCAAATGCCCAATGACCACCTTACGATTAACGTGTTGTTGAACCTCAATAATTATAGCAAACTTTGAGAGCATCTTATAAATTTGATCACTTCTATTTGGTATAATTGATTACATCCTGAAACTGATCAATCAAGGAGTCTTTCGATACGATTTTGATAAGATGTCCCCTACTGCACAATTAGTATGACTAAATTGTAATAAGATAATCATGTATTGAATTTTAATTGACAGCGCAAAAGATCGTACTAACTCAAGTAGAGTTTTAGCTACTTAGTACTTCATATTCACATGTAGATAGCTACTTCAAAGAGTTCGAATATTGATCGAGTTTGTTGAACTTTACCTAACAAAACTATGATATCAATCGTAAGATATGATGCTTTTTCGAGAAATTGAGAGAATATGTTGGAGACATCAAGCCTAACATGGATACCGTTGAATTTAAGTAATAAGCAACATTCATAGTCAATAGACTATACATGGAAAAAAATTTCATCATTCCCATAAGTTGGTAGGAAACAGTGAATAATTAGGAATGGAAAGCTAGAAACATAGCTGATTTAACAAATAACTGCAAAAAAATATTGAAAAAAAAAGAAAAAAAAATACTTAGAGTGTAGGCGTGACTCGTGAGAGTGTTTCATTAAACCCTCAAACAGAAAGCAAGTAATCATTAATAGTTTGTTGTGGATATTGAAATAGTTTACTAAGCTGAATGCGATATACTGGTGATTAATAATTGGACCTTAGCTTGAACATTGCATCATGTAGATAAAAATTATTTCATTAATTACAATGCTGAAATAAGTGGTTGTATATGGAAGTCTTGATTTTTTTTTTAGATTGTTAAAATAAATAAATTTTTATAATACAATACATATGTTTTTATTTTTGTTCATACACAATCGTGAATTATTTGCCTGCTTTGACTAAACTATCACTCAAATTGAATGATTAAATAAATTCGAATTTTAGCATAGACTGTCGAGATAATTGGTATCAGTGTTTGTCGTGTTTATTTTTCTTGAAATGTATGGTACCAATGTTCTTATGTCGTCATTGAACACTTCATTGAACACTTCAATGCGCAATATTCCAACCAATGATATTTGTGTTGAGATTTTAAGATTATCCTTCATTTATAAGTTAGAAAAATTCTAAATTAATTATTAAAATATGAAAATAGAATTATCGAACATCACAAAATACTTACATGAGACTTAGCGGGCCAACTAACCGTGATAGAAAAGTACTATGTTTTTCATAATTTTAACATCCTCTATGTTTTGTATTAATAATGTACAACAAATGTGTCTAGTTTAATTGGTTACAATTCTTGTCTTTGATGGAAGAGATCATTGTTCAAATCGTAGCATTGATATATTTTTATATGAAATAAAAAATTGATTGCGTAGACGAAAATACCCTTCCTACTTTTACTCTCGTTGCAAGAAATTTGAAATAAAGCAAATCAAACTCTTTAAAATGTATAAGTAGTGTAGAAGTTGGGACGCTAAATGCAAGGATTGGGGACATGAAAACCTTCATTTCTTGGTAACATGAGCTCCACATTCTGAAAGGTACAAAGCATATGCGTCCTGAACAAACACTGAAAGTCATTTTCCATGTCTCAGAAAATCAAAATGGTTGATCTTGCATCTAGAGTCGTTATACTTTTTTTTTTTTTTTTGACAAACAGAGTCGTTATACTTGCAGGAGGCAACTTCTTCTGAATACCATCAAAAGAAAGGAAATACCAGGAGAAAACTATTGAAAAAATAGAGTAAAGCAGCCTCCGAGAAAGTATAAAGGGAAATAGGGAATCAAATTCCACAGTGAAGCGTTTTTCTGATGGCATCACAACACCACTGGATTCCTCTGATGGCAAAGGATTCAAGCTCCCTGAGTTTGCCAAAGTCCGCCCTGTATGCTCTCCCTAAACTCATCCTCTGGAGGGAAGGTTTCTGCAGTACTTTTGGGATGTACCCACCGGTTCCCTAAATCTTGCGCAAACACTTGGACAGTCGACCACTGTGCCCATATCGAATAGATTTGACCATCTCTCTGCAGATGCAGACTAACAAAATCTCAGAGTAAATAATGCATGTCTCAGCCACAGTAAGGGCAGCCATGTCATCAAGCAATGGTAAACAGCCTTGTCGGGCTTTAATCCCCCCCGACTTCATTTGTTCGAAGCATTCCAAAGCCTTCTCAGGCAGAGATGCTCGAGCCCAACCCTAGACCAAGGTTGTGAATATTTTAACATCTACCTTCAATACAAAGGCTGCAATTTCCTCCACGGTCTTCACTACTTTCTGAAATACAATACCAAGGAGAGAGGGACAGATTGTTAGGTCACCGTCAACAGAAATAAGTAGTCAAGCTCAACATGGGTTAAGATAGATAGCATACTGCACGTCACCAACCTTGCAGTAAGCATTTATAGACCAAGTGTAAGTGTGAAAGTCAAGTTGCACTCCCTCTTGCTTCATTTCTTGCATAAGGTCAGCTCTCCGAACCCATCTGAAAAATCATTATCAATGTCTGTTAATTAGACAGACAAAAGATAACGAAAACAAATGAACCGAACTGCATGAGAATCTCTCCCGTCGATTAATATGATGTAGACTAACCAGAGTCTGGGAAAGGGCCTCGATTCTTTAGTGTCTGCTAAAGCACTTCGCATCCTTCCAGGTTTGCAGCTAGCATGCTTTCAGCCATGCCTCGTTGGTGAACGTACACGTCAAGTTCAGAAATAAGAACATTAGGTAATGGTAACACTATCACATTATAAAATGAAGGTAATCGTACCACAGAAATTTGCAACAAAGGCAGGCTACGTCAAGTTCAGAAATAAGAACATTAGGTAATCGTACCACATTTGTAAACGACATTTCTCTAAGGTTGGCAGGGATGCTGTTGCTTACCATTTTCCTGGCTTGTTAGATCGAAACTCTAGAAATGTGGAAGCTTTCAAGCCAAAGGTATTCATACTTCACTTAGGCCAGGAAATACTGATTAAACTCTGGCAATTCTGAGGTCCTTATCTTTTCATCTTCCTCGCCGATCCCAACCTTGATCCTAAAGTTGAGCTTCTTCGTCCCTTCTGCCTGGAGACCAATAGAGCGTTCCAATCTCCAAACTCAGACTCTGCCTTCCCTTTCTGAGCTACAGTCAACATTCATTCATGGAGCCAAGCAATTCGTTGGTCAATCGACATCTTTGAGGAAACAACCAAAGAAGAAAATCCCCAAAATCAGAACCCACATTGTCAAATCTAGCAAAGTCCGAACTTGGGCAAAATCCATTTCAAATCTGCGAGTAAGAAACGGAGAAAACAAAGAAGAGACCGTCGTCTTCACCACCCACCGGCTCTTCCTCATGGGTAAGGCTCCTCCTCTCCGCCCATTGTTCCAATGTTTCTCTTGCTTTTCCGGCGTAAGAAAAGAATCGGATAGGAGGTAGAGACGAACTGGGGGGGCGAACCAGAGGAGTTCAATCGCCCTTAATCGAGGAGAGCACGGAGAGGTGTAGTGTACCATTCAAGGGCGGTGGCGTGTGTACGCAGATGTGAAGAGCCCTCGTCAGGTCGTGTCTCAGCAACAAAGAAGCTCTAGAAAATTGGAAAAGCTGCCCGGAATGGTGAAAAGGATGGACACGGCCGAACCATGCAATTGCGGATTTTGGAGGTAAGGTCGCGAATGGAAAGAGCAGAGCGGAAAATCAGGGGCCCCGGGAAAGAGGCGAAGGCAGTTCGGTATGGGCAAAGTTCGACCCGTACTTGTTGTGGATTGCGCGGGAAGATCGTATGCGGACGGAAAGAATGGGCGACGAATCGACCGAGATGAGGACGTTGATTTGACCAAGACAAGGCAGCGGGAGCTGGGCAGACGTTCACGATTCGGTGGAGGGGAGCTAGATGCTAGAAGAACCGAGGGGGTCATTTGTTTGACTTATTTGAATGAGTCATTTAGTACTAAATAATTGATTTGCTGACAAAAAAATGCTTAAGCCATTCGACTCATATGAAAATGTCAAAATGATTCTATTGAGTCATTTCTATATATTCTTTCTATCTATGAGTTATTTTCAAATAGTAGCTCAATCTTCCCAATTTTATCCTTGTCATTTTTTTATAAACTCACTTTTATCGCCTTTTCATTACTTATTTCCCCTATCATTCTTTCGTCTATCACTCTCTTTCGCCAAATTTCACAAGCCTTTCGCCAAATTTCACAAGCGGCAAGGAGTAACATCCATCTTATTGTCTCCTTCATATTTTCATGACAAAGAGTGAAACCGTATAAAAGTGTACCCAAGGGCGGAGCCAGGATTTCAAGATCGAGTGGGCCGAAAAAAGTTAAATGTAAATGTAAATAAAAATAAAATAATTATTTTAGTTATTTTTAAGGGTTAATACCTTATTTTGGCCCGAACTATGACCATATAATCAACTTTGGCACATGGTTTCAGAAATTAACATCATGGCCTCAATTATACAGCATATAGACTCCTTTGGCGCGACAACACCGTTGACCGTTAGTCAACACGCCATGTAATTAGCATCTAAACTAAAAAATTTAGTTATCTTTCTTTCAATATAAATAACTAAATCATTAACAAGAAACTCATCATTTATTTTGTTTCACAATCTATTCTTCACTATCTTTATACCTGAAAATATGCACGATCACATGTAGCAGTGAAAAACTGGAAGAGTTTGAAGAAGACAAATCAACATGTCAACAAAATAGAATTCCTTGGACAATCATATTTCTATTGATCCCGACAAAGATAAAAAAAGACCATATAGTTTCTATAAAGAGTTAAAATTCCCAAGTGAACTAAGTAGAAGATGATTTTTTCATTTGTAGTTGGATTAAAGTAACAAAAAAAAATGAAAAGGAGTGGGTTTACGGTTGTTGGTTGTTGTGGATCGAACTTATTTACTTCAGCCTAAAAATTAGCTTAGCTACCAGTCGACCACTTGACTATTCATGACACAATGTATATGCCGAGTACTACTTATTCAACATTTATCTAAATATCCTTATGGTCCTTGGGCCGAGACTATTCACGGGTGGGCCGGGGCCCACCCTACCCTCTAAGTAGCTCTGCCGCTGAGTGTACCTACTGGTTTGCTTTGGGAATTTTATTAATACGAGACATTTGTGCCAAAATCTCTCATTTAAAAACCTAGGAAATTTAAATAAGGTATTTAGATAAATTAACTTGTTTTTTCAAAAAAAAAAATCAATTAACTTGTTTGGTTAGGCATGAGAGATTTAGAGCCCAATTACGTAATGACTTTTTTATCTTCATCTTCTTCCTTATTTTTCCAAACTAACGAACGACAAACAATTCAAAGTGGACCTTTCTACCGGCGACATAGCTCAAAGCCGGTGACCCCCCTAAGGAACAGCGACTATGCCTGCTTGTCAATTGTCTCTTTGCAGCTGGAGAAAAGGTAATTAAATGCCCCCCTGCTTGCAGATGGAGAAATAGGGACATAAAACTTCCCCTGCTTTCGCTTGTGTCTTCACAGATGGGGAAAGGGGAATTATGTTCCCATAAAATCACACGCTAACATCTCTCGCAATTGAGAGTCTGAGAGAGACATCCGGAAATATTGACTGTAAGTGGATGGCGAAGCGACAAAGAGGCACCCATTTCCCATCAAGATTCATCGCACAATACCGCCAGCCACCAGGAACCCAATTCCCAGATCCGGTTCGAGAGAGACGGTTCTTCTACCTCTTCTACGGAGCTTCATAAAACTCGTAGAGGGGAAATCGACGATGACCTGTGCTGTTTAGGTGAGTGAGTTTCTTGTCGTGGACGTTGCAACTTTCATTAAACTGGGGAATGGTAACAGATTTGTAGGACGAAATGGAGAAGAAGCTCAGCTCATTCTGAGTCTCCCTTAAGCTTTTATAGCTGGTGTTTGATTAACACAAATAAGACAGTTGTCCTTACATGATTGGTCTGAATTAAACAAACAGTAAAACTTAACGGCTAAGTGCAAATAGAATAAAACGCTGTCGTTCTCTCACAACTAAACAGCCTAACATGAAACGTAGTCGTTCCAGTCTTCTTCCATCTTCCTTGGATCACGAATCCTTCCCCAATCTGGATTAGTGCTTCTGCAGTTCTTCTCTTCTGACTTCCTCCATCTTCTCTTTAATTCTGTCAGCCCCCCTCAAGTTGGTGGTATCAACTTGATCCCCAACTTGACAAGCAACTCCTTAATCCTGAAACGGTCCAGCCCCTTAGTGAAAATATCTGCAAGTTGTTCTGCAGTGTTAATGGACTTCAGTTTGATCAAACCCACTTTGATCCTCTCCCTTGTAACATGCATATCAATCTCGATATGTTTTGTCCTCTCGTGAAAGACAGGATTCTCTGCTATATGTATAGCAGATCTATTATCACAATAGACTGTTATAGGGAGAGGCACTTCTACTGCCAGTTCACTGAGCAGTCTCTTGATCCATTCTACTTCACAAACAAGATGAGCTAAGGCTCTATACTCAGCCTCAGAGGATGACCTCGAGACTGTAGTCTGCTTCTTCGTTTTCCAAGTCACTAGAGAGGAACCAAGCATGGTGCAATATCCAGTAATGGATCTTCTGGTGTCAGGGCAACTGGCCCAGTCTGAGTCACTATATCCAGTAAGTCTTAACTCAGCTTTACTACTGAAATGAATCCCCTGATCAGGTGAGGACTTTAGGTATCTAAGTACCCTGTATGCTGCTTGCATATGTTCCACACAAGGATTCTTCTGGTACTGACATAGCTGCTGAACAGCAAATGCTATGTCAGGCCTGGTAATGGTAAGATAATGCAACCTTCCAACCAGGCGTCTATAGCCTTCTGCATCTTCCAGCAAGGTTCCATGTGATGTCAACTTGACCTTGGTATCAATTGGTGTCTTGCACCCTTTGGACTCCAGGTATCATGTGTCCTTCAATAACTCAATACAGTATTTCCTTTGGCATACATCTAAACCATCCTCAGTTCTGCTCACTTCTAAACCAAGAAAGTACTTGAGTGATCCAAGTAGCTTGATCTTAAATTCTTTGCTCAGGGCAGTTTTAACTTGCTCAATATCCTTCCTTGAGTCTCCTCCTAGTATAATGTCATCAACATAAACCAGTAGGACTGTAATCTTGCCATGAGTCCACTTGGTGAAAAGAGAATAGTCAGATGCAGACTGTGAAAAACCAAACTTCAATAGGAAATCTGTCAATTTTGCAAACCATTGTCTTGATGCCTGATTAAGGCCATATAATGACTTTTCAGTCTACAAGTCATCCTTTGTCCACTCCCTGATGGCACTTCCAATCCCAGAGGTAATTTCATGTAAACTACCTCTTCTAAATCTCCATGTAAGAAAGCATTAGAGACATCTAGCTGTTCAAGCACCCAGTGTTTCACACTTGCTACTGCTAAGAAGGTTTTCACAATGTTAATTTTGGCTACAGGTGAGTATGTGTCTAGGAAGTCAATTCCATAGACTTGGGTATACCCCTTTGGCACTAACCTGGCTTTGTTTCTTTCCAATGAACCATCCTGATGAAGCTTAATTTTATAAACCCACTTATTGCCAATTTCTTTAGCTCCAGGTGGCAATGGAACTATGTCCCAGGTTTGGTTTTCTTCTAGTGCAAACATCTCATCCTTCATAGCCCTATTCCAAACATCTGACTTCACTGCTTCATAGTAAGACTTAGGCTCCACTAGGTTCACGACATTCAGTGCATAAGATCTATCTTCCTTGCTTAGAGCATTAACACTTAAACAAAGGGGATACCTGTAACAGGAATTGGTACCACCAAATGCTCCAAACTTGAGTGAAGAATCTAGTTCATAATCTCCATACTTAGTTGGCAGCTTGATGTGCCTGGATGGCCTTTTGTTCACTTCGGTGCTGGGGTCATCAGGATCAACATCAGCTTGGGGATGGAGTTCCTGATTATCAGAATCAAAATATGTGTAATGGTCATTCACTTCAGTAAGTGGCACAACTGGCTCAGTAGGAGATACTTCAGGAGACATCTCATGCTCAGAATTCCCCCCTTCATCTGTGGATGAAACAAACTGAGAAGGAGATGCATCAAGAGGAAAAGGTACTGTGAGGGATGGAGAGTTTGTAGCAGGTGGTGAGACATGGGGATTGGAAGGATTTTCAGGAGGAACATGAATGGCTTGAAACTTGAAGGGAATGATATTCTCATAGAAAGAGACATTTCTGGAGAAAAACAACTGTTTGCTGTGAATATCCAGAACTTTATAGCCTTTAAGGCCTGAGGGAATTCCAATGAACACACACTGCCTAGCCCTTGGGGCAAATTTTGTTCTTCCATGTACTAGTGTATTAGCATAGCAGAGGCATCCAAAGACTTTCAAGTGTCCCATGAAGGGTACTTGCTTGTATAACACTTCATAAGGTGTTCTGTTTTGTAAAATTGGGGTTGGCATTCTATTTATCAAATAAACTGCATGTAGAACAAAATCACTCCAGTAAAGGAGAGGTAACCCTGATTGGAACTTCAAGCACCTAGCAACATTGAGTATGTGCTGGTGTTTTCTCTCCACCCTTCCATTCTGCTCTGGTGTTTCCACACAGAAAACTTGATGTTCAATCCCTGCTGAACTGAAAAACTCACACATCTCAAATTCCTTGCCCTGATCAGTTCTGATCACTTTAACAGATGTATGGAATTGAGTGTGGACCAAGTTACAGAATCCCTTAATCAACTCCCTTACTTCACTCTTATGCTTCATCAGATACACCCACACACAACGAGAGTAATCATCCACAACAGTCAAAAAGTAAGAAAAACCATCATATGAAACTGTGGAAAGGGGGCCCCAAATATCCATGTGTACTAAATGAAATGCCTCAGATGCCAAACTGGTGCTAACAGGGAAAGGAAGTTTGCGTTGTTCGGAAAAGTGACATACATCACAATGTATAGTTTTAGTTCTAGCTACTGAGGGAATTACATGGCTAAGTAAAGACTGTCTATCATGACTTGGGTGCCCTAGTCTCCAGTGCCACAGGTTCAGGTCTTGTGGATTGAAGTTGAAAATAGGTGCTGCTTGGTGTTGGTGTTGAGGAACTGATGAAGTGGAAGGCTTGGATTGTCTTGAAGGAAGAACAAGGTGATAGAGACCTCTAGTTGTGTGGGCTAAACCAATCCTCTTCTGGTTTAAGAGGTCCTGGATTTCACATTTATCAGAATGGAAGTTTAAGGAAAAAGGGTTATCAAGGGTAAGTTTACTAACAGAAATGAGATTAAAAGAAAATTGTGGCACTAGGAGAACATCATGTAAGGTTAATCCACAATCTAGTTTCACTGTTCCTATGCATGTAACAGTGACTTTGGTACTATTAGGGAGATAAACAAAGGCAATTTGGATTGGAGTATAACTAGAGAATAGTGAAAGACTACAGGCAATATGGTCTGATGCCCCTGTGTCCACAATCCATAAAGTTAGGTCTTGTGTTTTAGAGGTTTGGGAAGATGACAGAACATGTTTACCTGAAAAATGAGGGAAGGAAGTGGGATATTGGGTGGCTGAGTAGGCTTGGTGGTTGATGGATGTGGAAGTAGGTGGAGAGGACTGAGTGTTAGCACCAGTCTGTAACAAATATATGAGGCGAGTCATTTCCTCTGCTGTGAAGCCAGTAGGTGCTGCTGACTTGCTCTCATTGATCACACTACCTTCTGATGCACTCTCATTCCCACTCCCTTGAGAGATAGAGCCAGCAAACCTTGGTGTGCTGGAGCTTGAACCAGAACTGGTAGAAGAACCCCCATTACCTCCACCTTCTCTTTGCATTTCCTGCTTCCTCTTCAGCTTCCAACAATCCTCAATGTTGTGGTTGTTCATCTTACAAAATCGACAAAACTTCTTTCCTCTTGTCTCAGTATTCTCTCTTGAGTTGTTACCTCCAACTGCTAAAGCCAGACTTTGTCCCTTCTTTCCTGATACAGCATTGTCTGCTTTGAGTTTCTGCTCATGCTGTAGCAGATCATCCACTGCCGTTGGTACTGTGGGTAGTGGCTTTTGTCTTAATCACATTATAGTCAGAGTTAAGACCCCTTAGGAATCTAACCAGATAATCAGTCTCCTGCTTCTGTATGAAGGCAGCCACAGCTGCACAGGGTATGGGATTTCCAGGAGCACAAGCACATGGAACTATGGGCTAAATTCCACATACTCATCCCATAGACCCTTAATAGCTGTGTTATACTGAGTTATAGATCTGGTACCCTGCTTACAGGCTTGAATTTCATCTTCCAGGTTCAAGATTCTAAGAGCATTGGGTTGGCCAAAACGTCTTTTTAACTCTTCCCACAATGCCTTAGCATTTGTATGATTCAGTACTGACCTCCTAATCTCTTTAGTCATTGAGTTCTGTAACCAACAGAGGACTACAGTATTATAAGCATCCCAAAGACTAAACAGATCTGCTTCACGAGGAGGAGTTGGAACTGACCCATCAATAAAACCCAGTTTGTTCTTCGTTTTCAACACTACTTGTATAGATCTACTCCACATAACATAGTTTGTCCCATCAAAGGACTCAGCAACAAGAGATTGAGACATGTTCTCGTTGGGATTGAGATAATAGGGATTGCCAAAGACAACTGTCTCTGTTTGCAGCTGGTTCTGGTTGAAGGTTCCAAAGCGAAAACCTGCTGCACCTGTGGTCGTTGTTGACGTGCTTCCGCCGGTTCCATTGTTCGGCGGCGTGTTAGGTGGAGTCTGTGTTCCCGACATTCTGTCGTTGGCGGCGGAAAAACCCTAGAGCTCGTTGAGCTCTGATACCATAACAGATTTGTAGGACGAAATGGAGAAGAAGCTCAGATCATTCTGAGTCTCCCTTCAGCTTTTATAGCTGGTGTTTGATTAACACAAATAAGACAGTTGTCCTTACATGATTGGTCTGAATTAAACAAACAGTAAAACTTAACGGCTAAGTGCAAATAGAATAAAACGCTGCCGTTCTCTCACAACTAAACAGCCTAACATGAAACGTAGTCGTTCCAGTCTTCTTCCATCTTCCTTGGATCACGAATCCTTCCCCAATCTGGATTAGTGCTTCTGCAATTCTTCTCTTCTGACTTCCTCCATCTTCTCTTCAATTCTGTCAAGTGGGTTTGGTGAGCTGTGATGAAGAGCCAGGTTCTGGAAACAGATTAAGTTGAGGAAGAAAGAGACAAGGTTCCAGGTCCATTTGGGTTTAGGTGTTCGTTTTTGCCGGCCGGCGCATGAAAAGAAGATTTGTGGCAGGAGAGTTGTGGTCGGAGGAGATGAGGAAGATGATTGGAGGTGATGTAGTGACGATGAAAGAAATACAGGAGGGAAGTAGTTAAACTAAGGCAAAATACACTTGTATAGCCAAAACTTTCGCGCTTTTGCCAATAATAGCCAATTTTGACGAAATACCACTTATAGCCGGTTTTTAAAGTTGTTGTATGACAAATATAGCCAATTCCATTAGATAATTTAACGTTGTTATTAACACCGTCAACTTATTTGACGGTTTGCTGACAAGGCACTAACTCAGCAGACACATCAGCGCCACATAAGCAAATAATAACACATCATATAATAAAAAATAAATAAATAATCATCTACCATTGTTGGGAAAAATAGTGACCAGACTCTCAATAATTGGGGGGAAAAGATAAAAATAAATCAATATTGATCTTTCTCTCCCACTAATCTGCTCACATGCACCATTGTTGATATGCTCAGGGAACGATTTCTCAGCAACCAACAATTGTTTCTCCTCTCGGAACAATATTCTCCCTCTGTCACGAACGAGTCGAAGAGAGTCAGGAATAGATTATTGTCCATTATAGTGGCGGAGGACGGGTCGGAAATGCGCTTGCCCCGATTCGAGATGAGGCGAATTCTTGTTATGGCCAAATACTTCCTTCTGGGTGTTGGAATTTGACCCAAATCGACGAGATTCGACGATGCACAACCTAGAAGGCGACAGAGCAGAAGCTGGGCGAGAAGATTGTCAAGATCTGCGTTTGCGAGCAGACTGTCAACCCGGAAGGCGGATTCTCTGGATTCCCATATGAGAGCGGGAGCGACAAGCGGCGAACCCCATGTCGTCGGTGCGGAATCGGAGTGATGGCCGAAACCCATGCCCGCTTAATATCGATCAGAGTTTGGTGAAGAGATGGTGGTGGTCTCAAATCTCTGGTCATTTCCGCTAGATCTACAGCCCGCTCGACGTTCTCTGGCCAGTTCCGCTAGATCTACAGCCCGCCCTCCTCTCCCTCTTCTTCCCTACTTCCAGCTTCTACGATTGGATCAAGTGGTTCTTGAGGAGCTCGTCGTCACCTTAATGGAATAGCATCTGTCTCACGACGGGGATGATGGAGTTCTTGTCGGAGAAGAGGGTATTGCGGCTGGGCAATCCCGAGCTAGAGAGAAGAGGGAAGCTGCGTCGGGGCCGCGGTGGGGGAGTCGGCGGTGATGGTGGTTTGGGAAATTAGGGATGTGTGGCAGACGACAGAGAAGCGAAGAGAGAGAAGGGGAAAGGGGATGGGTGGAGAATTTTCCGTTTCTTTTAAATTTTAATTTTTACCGTTATTTTTTAAAATTAATCCAGCACAGAATTGATAATAGAGAAACTTGCCAGTTCAACTTTTTCGTTTGTCCAGTCAGCTTATTAACTAACACCGTTAAAGAATTGGATGGAAGTGGCTATAAGTGTTATTTCGTAAAAATTGGCTATTATTGTCAAAAGCGCGAAAATTTTGGCTATACAAGTGTATTTTGGCTTAAACTAACGCACAAAAAACCGAGAATTTTTACAATGCTATATAGTATTTGATGCTATAGGTTTTTTGCCTTTATGGTACAACCTAAAATTGTACATTTACGTTATGGTACAACTTCGGACTGTACCTATACTTTTTGTACAAATTCTTTTATGGTACAACTTGAACTTGTACCTTTATGTGATGGTACAACTTCACGTTGTAAAGTTGTACCATAACATAATGATACAAATTGTTTTATGGTACAAGCTAAACTTATACATTTAATGTTATGGTACAACTTTGAGTTGTACATTAAAGCACCAATACTATATAGCAGGGATGGGATTAGGTGCTAACCCTTATAGGGGTTAGCACCGTGATAACTAGCAAAAATCACTACGGATTATTATAAAATCAATACAATATCTAAGCTAAATCACTACTAATTCAAACTAGTAGTAGTTTTTCCCTTGATTAGGACGGTGCTAACTATTGTACAATTAGCACCGTAACCCCTCCCCTATATAGCATAGTAGAGGTGCTCCAAAAAACCACCTTAATTACTAGTTAAACTAACGCACGAATTTTTTATTTTAATTTTCTCACCTTAAATTTAATTACTTAACCTTCATACGAAAACGTGGCGAAAGGGTAATTACTTTAGATTAAACTAATTAATTCTTACCTACCAAAGCTATTCAACATCTGATATATGTGAGATTATCAATTTCAACTTAATCATCATTATTTGTACATTTTTACCATAAAACCTTTACAATATTTGTAAAAAACTCTCCAAATATTCTACAACGACAGATATCGTTGCAAAATACCTCCAGACATTCTGCAACGTAGGACGATCGTCGCAAAATATTTCCAAACATTCTGCGACGAAAGACTATCGTCGCAAATATCTCCAACTTACAGTGACGAAAAATTATCGTCGCGAAAAATTCATTAACTTTCTGCGACGGTAGACGATCGTCGCGAAATATCTCCAACTTACTGCGACGAAAGAGTGTCGTCGTAAAACATCTTTAAACATTCGGCGACTAATACCGAGAATCGCTAAAAGTCTATAAACATTATGCGACAAGTGAGTTCGTCGTACAAAAAAGTGTTCCTCGCAATACCCTCTGCCCCACCTTCCACAGAAAATTGACAGAATGCGCGACGAAAAAGTCAAGTTCGTCGCAAATTGTGCACTTTTTGCGACGATTATTTTGTCGTCACAAAAGAATTCGTCGCAAAAGATGTACTTTCTTGAGTGATTGTTGAAGACAATACATCATCCTGGCTTCAACTCTAGCTCCGCTCCCACCTAACACATATCTATTGTTGCTGCTGATGATCTGCTTACACATGGCATAAGCACAAAAAAAGAATAAAAGAAGGTCAGCTCATGGCTGAGTGAGACAATCATTGCATCGTGAGTTCATAACAAAGCATATCCCTATCATACATCTGGCAAACAAGTCAAAGCACTAGGATCAGACCTCAGCAATCTGACATCCCAATAGGCAAAAGACTCAACCACCTTGACTTATGCATGTGCGTCTTATCATGATTTACTTATAGGCGCTTGGCTACTCCCATGCTAATCATTCTCCCGGGAAACGAACCAATCATCTCGTAGGATGTGGTCATATCGCACCCACCACTGTCGGTGAAGTCATTGGACCTGACACCACTCTGGGTGTGGTCATATACGACACCACTCTGGGTGTATACATATCTCATGAAGGATCATCGGTCAGCACCACATCAGGGGTATGACATAACATATCATAATAGAGTAATAGCATGGGGAGCCCTAATTACTATGCGATTGACCATGAGATCAAAATACTCTTACTTGGTATCCTTAAACATGATTCATATCTCATCTTGCATAATCATAATTCATTACTTGCACATGTCCTTGACCTGGCCATAATTGGCTCAACATAGGTAAAACAGGAGTCGTATAATTGCACTTCCTCGGGATGAACCCTCGTGCAAGTCATTCTCCTTAAAACATCATAATATCACCATGGGATATATATTTGCCCACTTGTGATTCCAAATACAACAATCACAAAAAATCATACTCAATCACCTTATTGAACCATCATAAGGCATATCAACAATTAAACTCACATCTGGCAACATATATGCAATCATCAACATAAACAAGGTCAATATCGGCTAGGGCAAGACAATAATATTATACAGCAATCCATGATTCATCATATAGCACAAAAGTCCATACACCCTAATCATGCCATTCTAGTTCACCTAGATCAATTCTAAGCATCATTATAATTATCGTGATACGACAAACCCGGTATGCCGTGCTAATCCCTCACCAGTTCTCGTAGTTTAAACACCGGTTCTAGCCTCCTGTACCCCAACTTCACTTTCTCAAACAAACCCGGAATCAAAATCCGAGATTGTCTTAATATCCCCTGTAGTGTCTCTGTCAATGTTAGTTGTAGGCTCCGGATCAAATTCTCGATAAAAACACATCAAACCCTTGCTGGAGCTAATTTCAGCGATTCCGGCTCCGACCTAATTAATCACCAAAATTCATGGATTAGAACCAGAGGATTAATTACCTCGCTGCAGGAAGCTCGTATATGAAATCTTGGTTCAATCTGGCTTTCAGATACTCCGAAACTCTAATTTGGCTTATCGGGAATTCAAAAAATTCGTGAATCAAAAACTCATTTTAAAGCTCTAAATCGATAAATCACAATGTATAGATGGATTAGGCGTTACTTACGGGATTTTTGGATCAGTAGAGCTCAAGAATCAAGCTCTGGCATGCTCTCGCCAAAGCTCCCCTGCGTGCTGCTCGGCAATAAAAGGAAGAAGACAATTTCGGATGGGGAAAAGAAATGTACCAGGGGGAAGGGAATTAAATGGACCGGAATATATATATGGTGACTACTTCGGTGCACTCACAAAAATTATCAGTGGGTTCAATGCACCCAACTCAAAAACTAGTCTTATGATGTCAGATTTTGAATTTTAATTTGTAGAATTAGTGTAATATGATGATATAACATATGATAACAACTAATTAGCCGATTACCCTAAGCAATAGAACTCCAATTTTGAGTTCTATCCCTAAACCCCAAATTGTAAACTCTAACTCTGACCCTAAATCTCTAAACTCTAAATCATTCAAATTAAAATAAATCTTTAATGATTTTTGTGCAAATTCATGTGTGTTAGTGTCAATCACATCATAAGTGATGATTGACATCATTTTGACATAAATCGCATGTTTAAAATGACAGTTATGAAGCGAATGCACTGAATGCACACAAAAAAGTGAGTGCACTGAAGATGTCACCATATATATATATATATATATATATATATATATATATATATATGTAATACGTATACTTATCCGATCGATCGATAATCCAATTTTCGCCGAAATACTATCAAAACACTCTATTTCAATCGGGTAATTTTTCTAGTGACCGTAATACGATTTTATCCGAAACGGGATGTTACAGTAACCTGTAATGATATTATAAGCAACGCCACAGTAGCACATAATATATGATTTAAAGCATCGATGAACTATGGCATCCTATTAAATAATAGAAAGAAAAGATACATGAATGTCAATAGAATTAACATACCTAAACCACAAATTGAACTAGCTAAACATAAGGGAGAAAGATTGTACCACCATTGATGATGAAGGCATCTCTTTAACTGTGCGCCTCCTCCTCTTCATGCTAACTCGTTCTTTCCTTGACCCGAGTGGCTCATTTCACGAGAATTAAAGATGAGTACTTGTGATTTCCGTAATCTCCTAAATCCTTTAGCCTGGCCCTCTATTTATAATACACGGAAGAATGGGTTTTTAGGATTTTTCCTCATAAAACTCAGCCAAAAGCTTCCTTGTACGACTTGAACTAGGATTCTCTGACTTAGGAATTGATAAAGCACCAAGGAGGTGCTTTGTTTTATGAGAATACGCAGCTAAAAATTCTTCAACGATAGATAAACGGACAGGTAGAATTTCGCCACAATCAAGGTGATTACTTGATTGATAAGAAACTTGTAAAACGAATCTGAAATCCTCACAGAAAAGCTTCACAAGGGTTCTCGAATTAGCAATGGAATCCTCACAAAACTAACTCAAGGATTTGATTCTTGAGACACAACTCAAAGAACTCGAAACTCACATAGGAGTAATTTTTTATTCAACTAAAACTTGGATGATTTACAACGTGAAATTGAAAGCTATTTAAAGGCAATAAAAACCTAATACAAACCTAATGTAGCTAGGAAACAATTAAGTTAAAAAACAACTCTAAAAACAGTACAAAACTCGGCCACAAACTTTCTTTCTTGACGCATAAGTAAGCT